GACTCAGTACCTTTTATGTCCAATTAAGAACCTACTATTTCTGTGTGGATTTTTACTGAAAAAAAAAACGTTAATGAAAGACAGAAAACAAAAACAAATTTACAATTATCAATGACTTTCAAACCGTGGAAGTCACCAAACTTTGTTTGTGACGGCCATTTTCTCGCTAAATTTATCTCTGACACCAGGCTACCCCCACCTCTTTCAGTCGCAACCGCAAATATCTCAACTTCTATTCAAGATAGATGTGTGCTTTTTTCAGCAAAAGCACGACAGCTAAACAGGCATTAAGATGGTACCAATAACTCCATGTTTTAAAAATTGAATAGCGCCTGGTTCCACGGTGTTGTGAAACAATACATTATAGTAAAATAAAACTGTACTGTTTTGAGACGCCGGTGGATTCCATACTGCTTCTAGAAAAACCAGAAAGACTTGTGATTCACGTACACTTGCAACTTTCCACAGTTGCGATTATCATCAATACTCCACCAGTCATAAACGTACGTAATGGTCGCAGAGTAACCGCTGTTCCTATGACCTCTCTCTCTCTCTCTCTCTCTCTCTCTCTCTCTCTCTCTCTCTCCCCTCTCTCTCTTTCTCTCCCCCACCTCTCTCTCTCCCTCTTTCCACCTCTCGTTCTTCCCTCTCATCCCCTCCCCCATCCCTCTCTGTACCCTCTCATTTCCCTCTCTTCCCTCTCCCCTCTTCCCCTCCCTGTCTCCCCCTTCCCCTCCCCCCTACCCCCTTTCTTCATTTTCTTTCCCCTACCTCCATCTACTCAACTCAACCTGGTCGAAACACGCGTCTCACAAATCTCAACCCCCTTAAACAGTCTATCACATAATTTTAATCGAAATCAATCGCAACACGTGTACAGTCCGACAGAACGCGAAACTCAAAAATCGTTGCAATGTGTCCACGCGGTACGGTTTGAAGGAAGAAAAATCTATTTTTTTCTCCCGGCACACGTTTCACGTCTACACGTGTAAACTGTGAGTTGTCGTGCTTAGCCTTTCCGGAGGGTAGACCTATACTGATGGATCACATTTAGATTTATTGTTGTTTAAAGTGCTAAAATCAAATTTTTTTTTCTTTCGTGCTGTTTGGTACTAGATACTTATTCGGTACCGTTTTCTGAAGGATTAGTGTAGAAGTTGTGAAATTTTATACGTTAATCATTTTTCTAGAGATCAAGAGGGAAAAAGAAAGTACAAATTTACGAATCGGTAGTTTGGACTTAAGTGTATTTGATAGGAACAAACTATCTTGCTTTTTATTTCTCTATTCTTCGATATTTAATTGTTTAGCTGTGTTACTAATTAAATCTAAACTTTTAATACGTATTTTGGTCTTCATTTAACGGTTTTTCTTCGTTCATCGTCTGCATCTATATTTTTTTCTAGGTCTGTGAAAAGTACACGTCCCCGTCTAGAGTCAAGAGGAGCAGATGGTCGGCCACTGTTGACACGTCGGCAATGTCTGAGCCGGGACGCCGTTGAAAAAACAAATCGTCTTCCAATTTCAAAAAGCAACGCCTGTTAGATCTAGAACCGGCAAACTTTTTTCTTCAAAATTTGGACACATAAATCATAGATAAACTGACTCGTTCGTCATAATGGCGAAGGGAATAATGAACACTCCTCTCCGCGCGGTTTTTGCTCCTGTTTTGTGTCTGCTGCTCTCAGTTGCAGCGTCGTCTGCTTTCATTGTGTCGTCATCAAATTCTGTGCGCACATTTACTCAGCTGGATCTCTCGTCAAATCTGAAGAAATTCATTGAGCATGAGGAGATACGGCTCAAAGTTATAAAAGAGTAAGTGAAGTTGTAATGTTTTGATATTTGGTCAAATTTATATATCATTTTATGCATGTATGTACAATGTATCTGTCATATGATCAACCAGATGATTTACTTTGTGCATGTTTTGTGTGTGTGTGTGTGAGTGTGTGTGTGTGTGTGTGTGTGTGTGTGAGTGTGTGTATGTGTGTGTGTATGTGTGTGTGTGTGTGTGTGTGCGTGTGCGTGTGTGTATGTGTTGGTGCGTGCGTGCACGTGTGCGTGTATGCACGTGTATTTTG